CAGCCCAGGATCCCACATTACATTTAGCTTTCTGTGTCTCCTTAGTCTCCTCCAATCTGTGACAGTTCCTCAGTCTTTCCTTAGCTTCTATGACCTTGACACTTGGGTGAATGCTGGTCAGTCAAATAGCAGTGCTTCCCATTTAGGTTGGGAATGATCTTTTCTCATTAGATTGCAGTGATGCATTTTGGGGATACATCCCAGGGAAGTGATGTCATGAGCCTCTCAGGGCAACATCAATACATGATGTTGATATGCCTTCTTATTGGTGATATTAACTTTGACCATGAAGCGTAGGTGATGCTGGGTTTCTCCATGCTAAAGTTAGTACTTTCCCCTTTATAATTGCTCAACTTCTTAGGGGAAATACTCTGAGATTAAGCAAATATTCTGTTTCCTCTCAAATTTTCACCCATTGATTTTATTATTTCTTGTTTTTAAAAATAGGTTTCTTCCCTGCCTGGTTTGGCTCAGTGAATAGAGCGTCGGCCTGGGAACTGAAGGGTCCCAGGTTCGATTCCAGTCAAGGGCACATACCCGGGTTGCGGGCTCGATCCCCATTAAGGGGCATGCAGGAGGTAGCCGATCAATGATTCTCATCATTGATGTTTCTATCTCTCTATTTCTATCTCTCTCTCTCACTCCCCCTTCCTCTCTGTAATCAATAAAAATATATTTTAAAAAATATGTTTCTATTAATTTTAGAAAGAGAGGGAGGGCGGGGAGAGAAACATATATGTGTGAGAGAAACATCACTTGGTTGTCTTCCATATGCACCCTGACTGGGGACTGAACCCTCAACCGGGGCATGTGCCCTGACTGGGAATCGAATTGGTGACCTCCCGGTGCATGGGATGACACTCAACCAACTGAGCCACACCGGCCAGGATAACCCATTGATTTTAGCATCCATTGGTGGCTCTTGCCTGTAAAATTACTACTGTGGTGTTGGCCTAATGGTGATTTTGTATTTCTCTCATTCCTCTCTCATTTATTAATTGGAATTCTTTTGTAAATGAGACCTGTTTCTTCTCCTCCATTTATTATTACTTTTAAAAATAGATTTTTATTGATTACAGAGAGGAAGGGAGAGAGAGAGAGATAGCAACATCAATGATAAGAATCATTGATTGGCTGCCTCCTGCACGCCCCTTACTGGGGATTGAGCCCACAACCCCAGCATGTGCCCTTGACTGGAATCAAACCTGGGACCCTTCTGCAGGCCGATGCTCTATCCCCCAAGAAAAGATGGCCTCTTCCCTGCCCCCTGGGGGGCTGCCTAGGAAGATGGGCCCAGACCGACCCCGACCCTCTGACCAGTCCTGCACAGTAGGGAAGACAACCCCTGTTTTGCCTCAAGGGGTCATGTTAACATGACCCCGTCCTGTTCAGGGTCCCCAGTAAAGACATCCTCACTGGCTCAGAAGAGGAACTGGAGGTAGGGGCAAACCCATTGTTGACTGTTTCAACACCCCCACCGCGGATGTGGGGGCATTCCCATTCCCGGCAGCCACTGAATTTCACAACAGCTCCTTCTGCCGGGTGGAGGGGGTGCTGGGAGCGGGGTGCCAGGAAGCCAAGCCTTGCTCGCCAAGCCTTTGAAAAAAGGCCTCATCCCTGGGGAGACTGGATGCCACCTTCTTCCCCCTTCATCTCCACCCCAAAGCCACTGGGTTCTGCTGACGAGTCATAAGAAACGGCTGATGACTGACTCATCAAACGGAAACGAGCGTGCCAGGGACCAGGCAGAGCGCCTGGTGAACCCCCAGGGCAGCTCGCTGAGGACCCCGGCTGGGCCCCCAGCGACTTGGGCAGGCCCTGCCTCTGAGAGGAGCTTGGGGACAAGCTCTAGATGGCCTGGGTGCCAGGGAGGCGGGCACACCGGGAACTCTGCCCAGTGCCCATCTGTGCAGAAGCCCTGATTGCCTCCAGTGAGCGGCCAGGGACCCCAAGGCCAGGAGATAGGAAAGCCCCAGGGCCTGGAGAAGGAAAGACGTGGGCCTGCAGGCCCTGGGGGTGTGCGGGGAGCAGCCTGCAGCCTCCTGAGGAGCAGTGTGTTCTGACCCCCAGGGAGGGGCTGCGGCAGAGGGGCGTGGGCTGAGGCTGATCATTTGCATCTTGTGTTTGCATCAGTTACAACGGGGCACAGTAGAGCAGGTGACTCATTCCTGCCTCGCGACACAACGGACTTATCCATCACAGGGGCGGGGCGGAGAGGTCTCACCCGGTTCCCACGGGGAAGCCCGTGCTCCAGGCTGGGGGGCCACCATGGTCATCGCCCAGTTCAGCCGAGAATGCCGCTCCCGTGAGCCCGGTCCTCTCCTTGGAGGGCGGCAGCTGTGCAGACAGACATGGTGGCCTCAGGGCTCCCAGCAACTGGGCGTCCGGGCCACTAAAAGCAGGATCATGCTGTAGCTGACTGAGTCTCCACTGTAGGGTGGAAGTGTGAATTGGTTTTTGTTTTCTTCTAGTAACTGCATCTGATGGTGCTGAGGCGCAGCCTGTGCTAGTGTCAGAGCCACGCCCTGGGTCCGCGTCCTGGCTTTGCCACCTCCTCGCTGTGTGACCTCAGGCCAGTTGTTTAGCTTCTCTGTGCCACAGGTGTCCCCCCACTCCCCCCAAAGGTGGTCTAACCTTCAGGCCTCTGCTGCTAAGCACCCCTCACCTGCGGGGGGGCCAGGCCCTCCGGAGTGAAGTGTCAACAGAACCGCTCA